CTCAGAGCCAGGGAACAGCAGGGGGCTTGGCAGGGGCAGGGGCAGGGGCAGGGGCAGGGGCAGGTGGTTGCCCCTGGGCACACGGGAACAAGCACTGCACGGCCCTGGGGGGGACTGAGCCTGTGCCTGCAGCAGGAGGCTGCAACGTGCCAGGCCGTGGGGCGCACCTGTCTGGGGGAGGATGCTGGGGTCCGGCAGGGCCAAGGACGCTGGCTCTGAGCCACGCTGTTGGCACTGGTGACTCACCATGCTCGCCAGCTGGTTTTCCCAGTTCAGAGGTGCCTGGAGGCAGCGTGTGTCCTGCTCTGGCCCAGTGCGCTTAGCGTGGCCAGGGTCCCATGCTGCGCCCCTCTGCTGCGCCAGGCAGCGCTGCCGCGGGCCGTGGTGTCAGTGCTGGCCGTGGGACAGTGGCAGCGCTATTTAAACCCATGCAGGAGCAGTCAAACTGGAATGATGGTTTGTATTGTAACATGACACCCATCTATCAGCAGCGCCACCCCCACGGGCATCCTCCCGGGCACCCGCCCCACCTGCAGAGGTGCCATCGCGGGGGTGGGGGTCGAGGCTCTTCCTCCTGCCCCTCCGCTCACCCCTCCTCCAGTCTTGTTTGGGAGCAGAGGTGCTGGAGGAGGCAGGAGCGTGCACGGGGTCATGGCACGGTGATGCCCCTGCCGTCAGGTCACTGGCTCCTCGGGCTCGGGGCAGATCAGCCGGTTTGCTGCAGTGAGTCAGTGGGTCCCATCCGCACCCTGATCCCTTCCCTCAGCAGCACCTCGCCTTGCCCTTGCCTGGCATGTGACCCTGCTGTGCCCTGCGCGCTGCCAGCTGCACCCAGAGGAGGCTGCGTTCCTGGGTGGGCAAAGGGTTCGTGTCTTTGCCTCGCACCTACCCTCGGGGTGGCGGGGAGCACTTTTGACCTTCCTGGGGCGTCACTTCCAAAGTGTCTGGGCCTGATGGGTGGTGAGTCCCATCAAAAGCATCCAGGAAGCAGCCTGGACGGAGCAGGTGTCGCTGCGTGGTGCCTGGGCTCCTGGCCTGGCAGCGCTGCCGTCTGCTGCAGGGAAGCTCTTTCCAGCCCCAAGCCTGCTGTTGGCAGGCTCGTTGCGCTCCTCTCGTGTCCTGGGCATGGCCAAGGCCTGCGCTGCGCCGGACCCTGGACCCTGGGCCCTGGACCCCTGCAAGGCTGTGTGAATCCCGGGGCTGCCAGCACACTCTCGAGCCGGGGCACACGGGACTGTTCAAGGCCGGGGGGCTGCTCAGGGGTGGTAGGTGGGCTGGCAGAAGCTTGCAGCAGCCCGCACGCTCCGGCTGTAGGGGCCTGCAGGCTGGCAGGGATGCCAGCCATGCTGGAGGCAGCAGGCACGGACTGCTGGTCCTAGGAGAAGGGGGCCAGATACAGAGGATAACTGACTGGTCCACAGGAAGCAGCAGAGCCTGGGAAGAGCAGGCAGGGAGAGAGGGGGAGGATGTTTGGTTGGTGGCTGCAATACTGGGTCCTCTGGCTGCAAGACTGGAGGCAGCATGGGATGCCCCTGCCCACTGTGTGTCAGGGAGGCCCGGGTGAGGGAGATTTCTTACCCTCCATCGAAGCTGACCTCATGAAGGAACACCTCGACAGCCTGGACACCTTCAAGTCAGCCGGCCCTGATAGGCTACACCCCAGGGTACTCAGGGAGCTGGCGAGCATCATAGCCCAGCCCCTGGCACGGGTCTTCGAGAGCTCCTGGCGCTCTGGTGCAGTGCCCAAAGACTGGACAAAGGCCAATGTGGTGCTGTTCTTCAAGAAAGGGAGGAAAGTGGATCCGGCTAACTACGGGCCCATCAGCCTGACCTCTATCCTGGGGAAGGTCTTGGAAAAGATTATCAAGGAGGCCATCCTTAACAGACTGGCTGATGGCAACATCCTGAGGGGTAGCCAACATGGGTTTGTTGCGGGTAGGTCTTGCTTGACCAATCTCATTTCCTTTTATAACCAGGTGACCTCTCACCTGGACAAGGGGGAAGAGATTGATGTTGTATATCTTGACTTCAAAAAAGCCTTTGATGTGGTTTCCCACGATCACCTCCGAGCAAAACTGGCCAACTGCGGCCTCGACCTCACCACAATCCGCTGGCTGGGGAACTGGCTCTGCAGTTGGACCCGGAGGACAGTGGTTGATGGAAGTCAATTGTCTTGGTGCGTGGTCACCAGTGGGGTCCCTCATGGCTCTGTCTTAGGTCCTGTACTATATAACATCTTCATTAACGATGTGGACATTGGTGTCAGAAGCGGACTGGCCAAGTTTGCCGACGACACCAAACTCTGGGGTAAAGCATCCACACCAGAGGACAGGCGGGTGATCCAGGTGGACCTTGACAGAAAATGGGCAGATGAGAGCCTGATGGTGTTTAACACTGAAAAATGCCAGGTTCTCCACCTTGGGAGGAAAAACCTGCAGCATCCTTATAGGCTCAGCGGTCTATACTGGTTAGCACTACGGAAGAAAGGGACTTGGGGGTCATGACTGACCACAAGATGAACATGAGCCTGCAATGTGATGCTGCGGCTAGTAAAGCGAGCAAATCGCTGGCTTGCATCCATAGATGCTTCTCAAGCAAATCCCGGGACGTCATTCTCCCCTTGTATTCGGCCTTGGTGAGGCCGC